AAGTTTTTTTTACCTGAAAAAAGGTTTATTATTCTATCTGTTTAACAGCTTGTACTAGAAGTTACGTAACTGTTATTAATTAAAGGGATGGAAGGAACCAATCAGTAGGAGTTGGAGGTTGTACATAGATTATGAGTGGTGCATCTCTTAAATTATGTTTTTGTATAGTTTTTCAGTAAATTTAAATGGGAATTCCATGTTCGCCTTGCCTGTTTGTAGGTTATATTTAAATGATCCATAAAATTTTCTGTGTGATTTCTTATTTTCATCATCTCTTACAACTTTACTGTTTACTCTTACTCTGTATCTGTCTGTACACTATTTATTTTCATTATTGACTTATCTACATTTTTCATATATACTTACTGAGCGCTCATATCTATATTTCCGCTTATTCGTATAACTACATTACTTTTTTCCGTTTACCATCCTGAGTTATCCCGGCAACCCTTTGTCAGTGTCTCTTCTGTTTCGGATTGTAATATTTCAAATCCCTAAAGTATCAGCAATATGTCCTTTATTCCCCAGAACATTTCTGGGATTGGGGATTTTGATGAAATGTGCCTTGCTGGCTATTGTTGTGAACATGGAATTAATGTCGAGAAGGATATGCATAAGGCATTCATTTGTTATCAAACGTCAGCAGAAATAGGTAACGCTGTTGGAACATATATGGTTGGAAATTGTTATCGAAATGGAATTGGAGTTGAAAAGGACGAACATAAGGCATTTATTTTTATCAGAAATCTGCAGAGATGGGGAATGCTATTGGAGCACTGAAAGTTGGTTATAGTTATGGACAAGGAATTGGAGTTGAAAAGGACGAATATAAGGCATTCGTTTATTATCAAAAGTCAGCAGAAATGGGAAATGCTAATGGAACATATAAAGTTGGATGTTGTTACGAAAATGGATTTGGAATTGAAAAAGATGATTATAAGGCTTTTATTTATTATCAAAAATCAGTAAATATGGGGGATGTTAATGGAACACGTCACGTTGGAAATTGTTATCAACATGGGATTGGTGTTGAAAAGGATGAACATAAGGCATTCATTTATTATCAAAAATCAGCAGAGATGGGAGACGCTGATGGGACATGTAATGTTGGATGTTGTTATGATAAAGGAATTGGAGTTGAAAAGGATAAACATAAAGCATTTATTTATTATCAAAAATCTGCTGAGATGGGACATGCTAATGGTATGAATAATGCTGGATATTATGTTAATGGGATTGGGGTTGAAAAGAATGAACATAAGGCATTCGTTTATTTTAAAAAATTAGCAGAGATGGGACACGCTATCGGAACATTTGATGTTGGATATTGTTATGAAAGAGGAATTGGAGTTGGAAAGGATGAACATAAAGCTTTTATATTTTATCAGAAATCGGCAGAGATGGGGAACGCTATTGGAGCACTGAAAGCTGGTCGTTGTTATGAACGAGGAATTGGAATTGAGAAAGATGATTATAAGGCTTTTATTTATTATACAAAATCTTCAGAGATGGGGGACGCTAATGGAACATGTATGGTTGGAAATTGTTATAGAAATGGAATTGGAGTTGAAAAGAATGAATATAAGGCATTCATTTTTTATCAGAAATCGGCAGATATGGGACATGCTAGAGGAATGTATAATACTGGAATTTGTTATTATAATGGAATTGGAGTTGAAAAGGATGAATATAAGGCATTCATTCATTATCAAAAATCAGCAGAAATGGGAGATGATAATGGAACATATATGGTTGGAAATTGTTATCGAGATGGAATTGGAGTTGAAAAGGATGAGCATCAAGCATTCATTTATTATCAAAAATCTGCAGAGATGGAACACGCTGATGGAATATATAGTGTTGGACATTGTTACTACAAAGGAATCGGAGTTGAAAAGAATGAACACAAGGCATTCATTTATTATCAAAAATCTGCCAAGATGGGGAATTCGAGTGGAACATTTAATGTTGGAAATTGTTATTTTAATGGAATTGGAGTTGAAAAGGATGAACATAAAGCATTCATTTATTTTCAGAAATCTGCTGAGTTAGGAGACGCTGATGTAATATTTATTGTTGGACAATGTTATCAATTTGGAAATGGAGTTGAAAGGGATGAATACAAAGCATTCATACAATATATAAAGTCTGCTGGAATGGGAAATTCCGATGGAATGTTTCAGGTTGGATGCTGTTATCAACATGGAATTGGTACTGAAATCGATGAACAAAAAGCATTTGTTCATTTTCGAAAATTAGAGGAGATGGAGAACGCTAGTGGGGTATTAAATGTTGGTTATTGTTATGAAAAGGGAATTGGTGTTGAAAAGAATGAATATAAAGCATTCATTCAATATATAAAGTCTGCTGGAATGGGAAATTCTGATGGAATGTTCCAGGTTGGATTGTGTTACCATCTTGGAATTGGTATTGAAATAGATCAACAAAAAGCATTTGTTCATTTTCAAAAATCAGCGGAGACGGAGAACGCTCGTGGATTATTAAATGTTGGTTATTGTTATGAAAAGGGAATTGGTGTTTAAAAGAATGAATATAAGGCATTCACCTATTATCAAAATTTAGAAAAAATGGGACATGTTGATGGAATATATGAAGTTGGAAATTGTTATCGATACGGAATTGGAGTTGAAAAGGATGAACATAAAGCATTCATTTATTATCAAAAATCATCAGAGATGGGGCATGCTAATGGAACATATGATGTTGGAAGTTGTTATGAAAAAGGAATTGGAGTTGAGAAGAATGAATATAAGGCATTTATTTATTACCATAAATCAGCAGAGATGGGGGACGTTAATGGGGCATATAATGTTGGATGTTGTTATAAAAAAGAAATTGGTGTTAAAAAGGATGAACATAAGGCATTCATTTATTTTCAAAAATCTGCTGAGATGGGAGACGTTAATGGAATGAATTATGTTGGTTATTGTTATCTTAATGGAATTGGAGTTGAAAAGGATGAATGTAAGGCATTCATTTATTATCAAAAATCAGCAGAGATGGGACACGCTATTGGAACATTTGATGTTGGATATTGTTATGAAAAAGGAATCGGAGTTGAAAAGGATGAACATAAGGCATTTATTTATTATCAAAAATCAGCAGAGATGGGGCATAATAGTGGAATGTTAGCGCTTGGTAACTGTTATAAAGATGGAATTGGAGTTGAAAAGGATGAACGTAAGGCATTCATTTATTCTCAAAAATTAGCTGAGATGGGGACGCTACCGGAACATGTAATATTGGAAATTGTTATCGAAATGGAATTGGAGTTGAAAAGGATGAACATAAAGCATTTATATGTTTCCAAAAATCGGCAGAGCTGGGGAACGATATGGGAACGTATATGGTTGGGTATTGTTATCGAAATGGAATTGGAGTTGGAAAAGATGAATATTTATTTATTTTCAAAAATCGGCAGAGATGGGACATGCTAAAGGAGCACTTAATGTTGGATCTTGTTATTTTGATGGAATTGGAGTTGAAAAAGATAAATATAAGGCATTTATTTATTTTCAAAAATCAGCAGAGATAGGAAATGCTGACGGAGCATTTACTGTTGGAAATTGTTATCTCTATGGACTTGGAGTTGAAAAGGATGAGAATAAAGCATTCATTTATTATCAAAAATCTGCCAAGGTGTGGCATGCTGAAGGAACATATAATGTTGGAATTTGTTATAAAAATGGAGTTGGAGTTGAAAAAGATGAAAATAAAGCATTCATATATTATCAAAAATCTGCAAAGATGGAACATGTTGATGGAATATATAGTGTTGGTCATTGTTACTACAAAGGAATCAGAGTTGAAAAGGATGATCATACGGCATTTATTTATTATAAAAAATATGGGGCATGCTGATGGAATAAATAATGCTGGATGTTGTTATAGTAAAGGAATTGGTGTTGAAAAGGATGAACATAAGGCATTCATTTATTATCAAAAATTAGCGGAAATGGGACATGCCAAGGAATATATAATACTGGAATTTGTTATAATAATGGAATTGGAGTTGAAAAAGATGAACATAAGGCATTCATTCATTATCATAAATCAGCAGGAATGGGAGATGTTAATGGAACATATAATGTTGGATGTTGTTACGTAAAATGAATTGGAGTTGAAAAAGATGAATATAATGCATTTATTTATTTCCAAAAATCAGCAGAGATAGGAAGTGCCGATGGAGAATTTAATGTTGGACATTCTTATCATCATGGAATTGGGGTTGAAAAGGATAATTGTAAGGCATTTAATTATTATCAAAAATCAGCAGAGATGGGGAGCGCTAGTGGGACATATAATGTTGGATATTGTTATGATGAAGGAATTGGAGTTGAAAAGAATGAATACAAGGCATTCGATTATTATCAGAAATCAGCAGAGATAGGATTTGCTAGTGGAACATGCAATGTTGGATATTGTTATGAAAATGGATTTGGAATTAAAAAAGATGAATATATGGCTTTTATTTATTATCAAAAATCTGCAGCGATGGGGGATGCTAATGGAACACGTAATATTGCAAATTGTTATCAACATGGGATTGGAGTTAAAAAAAATGAACATATGGCATTCATTTATTGTCTGAGATGGGGCATGCTATTGCAACATATGGTGTCGGATTTTGTTATCATCATGGAATTGGAGTTGAAAAGGATGAACATAAGGCACTTAATTATTATCAAAAATCATCAGAGATGGGACATGCTATTGGAACATATAATGTTGCTTGATGTTATAGAAATGGAATTGGAACAGCAAGAGACTTACAAAAGGCTAATGAATGGTATCATATGTAAGTTATTTATCCTAATATAATAATTTATATAAATTTCCTTTTTTGATAACTAAAAATTTAAAAAATCATTCAGGGAACGGGAACTAACAGAACAGACATCACGTAACTAGATATTGTTTAAAATTAATATTTATTTTAAAATATACTAATTTAATTTTTTTTAGTAACAAACAGGAGAATGTATAAAAATCTGGATATTGATGATAATTTAAAAAAAGTACTAGCTGAAAGTGAATATCCACTATCTTGGATTCCTTATAACGAGTTTAAAAATATAAAACATTTAGGTGAAGGTGGCTTTGCAAATGTATATTTAGCTACCTGGATAACTCAAGACAGACGCACACCTGTTGTGCTTAAATTGCTTAAATCACAAGAAAACAATGAAAAATTCATAAGAGAGGTAAATTGATTTGCTTGCAAATGTGAATTTAATAATTTAAATTTTAACGAATTTTTTTTTCAATATTTAAGTTAAAAACACTTTGTGATATCGGCAGTAAAAATCCATCATTTTTAAGATGCTATGGAATATCAAAGAATGATACTGAGAATTATTTTCTTGTCATGGAAGCAGAACAAGGTTCTTTGCTTAAAGGACTTGACTCTGTGGCAAAAGCTGAATGGAATGATAAACTAAAATTATTGCATTGTATTGCTTCTGATCTTCAAATAATTCATTCTCAAGGATTTATTCACCGAGATTTACACAGTGGCAATATTTTATTAAATAGTGAAAACAGTGCATATATTGCAGATTTAGGACTCGCAATATCAATTAACATAGATTCAAGGATGGAATCTGATAAAATTTGTGGAAATTTACTATATATAGCTCCAGAGATTATTCATTCAGAAGTTAAAAATAGTAAACCATATACAAAAGCATCTGATATTTATTCTTTTGGCATAATTATGTGGGAAATTTTATATGGAATATCTGTTACTAAATTCTATAACAAATTTTATTCAAATTTGCATGATGAAATAATACTCCATAAATTAAGACCAAAAACTCTTTCTGAAGATAAAGAAACATGCTATGTTAAATTAATGAATCAATGTTGGAATGAAGAACCGGAAAATCGTCCTTCTGTAGACAATGTCATAGAAACTTTTACGAAATGGCAAACTGATGAATCAATCTTATTAGAATTATCTAAATTATCTAAGTCATATGAAAAGTTTAAGCAAATCATAAGCCAGAAACGACAAGAATAGACAAAGTGAGAAGGTTAGTTACTTTAGTGAAGACTATCCAAATATAGATGATTTAATAAACGAAGAAAATAAATCAACATCTAGTGATAAATGGCAAAGTGATAAATCAGTCTTATTAGAATTATCTAAATTATCTAAATTTTCTAAGTCTCATGAAAGGTTTAAGCAAATCATTAGTGGAGACTATTCAAATATAGATGATTCAATAAACGAAGAAAATAAATCAACATCTAGTGATAACTTAATGCTGTTTAGTAATTTGTCACTTACAAAAGATTCAGAACTAGGAAATCAGCACTGTTAGGTATCCGATGCTAAATATTTAATGGCTAGCTAAAAATATTAGTTAATTAACTAGGCGCTTGAGTTGTTTAAAGGGAGTTAAATAGAGTATACTATATTATATTGTATTACTATATGGGGTCTTTGCCTTGAAAATGATACCGTAGGGTCAAGGCAAAGACCCCATATACTAACTTGTTACATATTAATTATAATGTAATTTAGTGCAATTCTCAAATTTTATTAATTTCGTATTGTAATTTATAACAAGATAGATAGCTTTGTATTAATGATAATAAAAGATTTTTTAGTGTTAATTTTGTAACCTGTATACATATATTGTTTTTTTATAGTGTTATATTAGTACAAACCTATTGGATAAGAACATATTGGATCTTTGCTATTAAAATGACCCTCCGAGGCTATGTTGATTTTGTGGATAAAATTAATTTTGCCAGCTATCTAGTAATCCGATTTGAATCAACTTTTTTTATTTTGTAAATCTCAATAAAATCTACGAACGAAAAAATTTTCATTCAAATTGGATAACTAGATGCCTGGCAAATTTAATTTTTATTCACAAAATCAACATAGCCTCGGAGGGTCATTTTGATAGCAAAGATCCCATATATTCTAGTTATTGTAAAATTTATTATTATTCTTTTTTATTACAATTAAGTGGGCTAAACTCTTGCCACATTTATACTCAATTTATTTAACTTATAATATTTATTCTATCTATCTCTTATTATAATATATTCTGTATTGTGTTATTTATTTATTATTTTAACTATCACTAGTGCAATATAGTAATCTCTTATTATAATATATTCTGTATTGTGTTATTTTTATTTATTATTTTAACTATCACTAGTGCAATATAGTAATTTCTATATGTGATTAAGATTAAATTAGGTTTAATCAAAATTATAGTACAGTCTAACCTCTCTAAAATAAGCACCCAAACTGTACAACGGACTCAAACATATTGTATATAATAATTATCTATACGTTCGGAGAATGGCAGTTGAAAATGACTTATCAAGAAGATTTTGTCTTATCTAAAAGAATAAAATTCTTTATCCAACAATTTATGATCATGATTAGTAGGGAGTCACTCGCTGAGTTTTTTTTTTTTTGAATATTGGAAAAACATAATTACATCATAACACATGAAAAAAATAACAGAAAGAAAGTTTTTCATGATCATATGAGTTTGTCGGATAAATAATAAAAAAATTATGTAATAAACATAATGATCTCACTCTATAATGAACTTTTTATAATAAAAAAAATTACTATTGAGTTTGGTATAAGCCGGTAAAATTATTCCGTAAGGAACTTCTGCCAATTTTTTAACGATTTTCTAGAGGTTCTTCGTGAAAACTCATAGTCGAGCACCGCAAAAAATAAACTGAGAAAAAAAAAATTAAAATAAAAACAAACCATTTATAAGCTACGTATAAATAGCTTAATAATGATCAACACCTACATTAGTGTAACAATTAACATTGGTCAAGTCGACCTTACGTACGTTGTAAAAGTGAGAAATTCTCCAGAATCACAAAATGTGTCCAATATGGATATCAACTACCACTAAAACTAATCTAAACAATACTCTAAACTACTAAACTGTACTGAACCCTAATGGTGGTAGGCACGAAAGAGGCGTGGAAGACTTGGTCCAAGTTATTAGGGTCTAATAGAGCTCTGGATTACGTCACGAGGCTCTACTTCGGGATCACGGGTTTAGACTATTAACTATATGCGAATTTGATTATCGGGGTAATTGAAGCGAAACTTTTAAAGACAGAATACTTGACTCTCTATGAGTCGAACTCTAATGAGTTCTACAGACTTTAACTTAACTCACTGACTGACTAACTCCTTTATTATAGATGCCAAAGGCATCTTATTTATAGTTTCTATGCTACTAATAGATACATAGTGGCTATGTTCGCTATGCTATATTCGCTTTGATCACTATGTACAAAATGTACATTTTGTACATATGTACAAAATGTACATTTTGTACATATGTACAAAATGTACATATGTACAAAATGTACATATGTACAAAATGTACATATGTACAAAATATACATATGTACAAAATGTACATATGTACAAAATATACATATGTACAAAATGTGCATATATACAAAATGTACATATGTACAAAATGTACATATGTACAAAATGTGCATATGTACAAAATGTACATATGTACAAAATGTGTATATGTACAAAATGTACATATGTACAAAATGTACATGGCTTCTATGTACAAAATATACACGGCTTCTATGTACAAAATGTACACGTCCTATGTACAAAATGTACATGGTTTCTAAACCTAATATGCATCTGATCTACTATGTGCGAAAAAATTCATTACAAGCCACGATTTACCCTTTTACAACGTACGTACGTACGTACGTACGTAACAGGTGCGATCACTAGATAATCGTACGCACGTTCGTGACAAAAGGGCTACTCGTGACTATAAAAAACCTGTTTAGTAAAAATGATTAATTAAACAAAATGTTTACAAAAATCGTACATTTAAATTTTATAAAAAAATAAAATTTTATTTATTTATACAATTATCAAACAAAATTTAATATTATAAAAAGTTTGGGTATTATTTTCATACATATTTAACAAATTTTAATTATGGATAAAGTAATACAAATAGATTAGAATTAGGGTAGGGTTAGCGGTTAGGAGGAGGCTTAGTGTATACCAAAATTTTGTAAGGAATTTTTTATTAGAACTTAAAAGGTAGTTTCATAGACGACATTTAGAGATATTACAAAAATTTCTTTATTTTTGTTACACGAAATTGATTTACACCTTACATCCGGTCTTCAAATTTAATTGGCCAATTGTTAAAATGTGATGTATAAGCATATCGCAGCATGCGATGCCTAATTAAGTCCTTTAATTATTATGACAAAATGGTTTAAAAATTGATTTATTTATACAATTATTTAAGTCCTTTAATTATTATGCCAAAATTTTTTAAAAATTGATTTATTTATACAATTATTTAACAAAATTTAGACAAATTACAAAAACTAAACAAAATCTATATAATTAGCATAGCGGGCTTTAAATCTGATTGGATGATCGCCCGGAATGTTTCACAATATGGTTTACATATTAGCGTAACGT